TAAAAAAACTTAACTTTTTTTCCTGAGAATTTCAGAAATACACAAGTTGTTCATAGGGATTTTGTTCCTTTCCTATACAGACTTGTTCAGTGTGATCTACCATGACTAAATATAATATCCTGCCATTCATAGAAGTTCATCAGCTTTTTAAAAACTAGCCTGGGTTTATGCAGATAAAAGGATTGGCCAGTGCCTGCCATGCACTCTATTAAATATGTTTATTTTGTGTGTTACACAATATTTGGCCCATACTCAAACATGGAATCTCTCACACATGTACTCACAGCCATATCCTCAGCAAAGATTAAAAAATGGAGAGAAGAAATACAATTATAAGCACAAAGACTTTTTTTCAAAATTGGTACTTAATTTTTATGGCAGGCAAGTAATATTGACAAATAATCTAGTTATCAGTTTTTGGGCCCACAGCAGTTTCCGCATAGTGTCAGAAGTTTGGAATGGATGGTCATCAGCATGTTCTCACTACTGCATTGATTGCACCCACACTTTTCCTTTTCATGAGAACCAAATGAGATTGAGCAGTTGATTGGCTTTCCTAAGAGAAATTAGTCTGTATTATGATGGGTCCCAGTCTTCTATATCAGTCAGAAGGTTACCAGCAGCACATTCATCATGGTGGCAAGATCTTTGTTCTTCAAGAAGGAGAGCTGGCTTCAATATCAATCACAGCTTATCATGCTTCTGAACACAGGCTCGGCCTGAGCACCCAGGAAAAGCCTTACATGCAGCGGAAACAATTTAAGGACAAATTATCTCAGAAAGGAGAAACTGAGCTGGGTGTTAAATCTGACTGTGAGTTTGAAGGGATCCATAGCAAAATTCCTTCTGAAGAGCCATCTTTCACACCAGTATGGGGAGGGAGGCCTAGCAGGATTATCTATAAAGAGTGCTCTGCTCAGCATAGGGAGTAACTGTGTTAATTTTCCACAATGCCTCCAGTGTAGAAATATGGAAAATGTAAATGGCAGATCCTAGCTCAGGTCAGTCTGCATTGATTGGGGTTCCAGGAGAAATTAAAAAAGAAGGATGCAGAGGAAGTTGTCCAAAGGGAGCATATGCTGACTCTGGTCCTGCTGAGCATCATCATTATATAGCTGTTACCTTTTCCGAAATGCTACAAAAGGTTTCTCTCTCTCAGGTAGTCTCTAATGCCATGAGAATGCCAACATTTCCTACATCTGCCATCCTGATTGAATGTGCCTAAGATCTCACCAACCTGCCATCCATTTATGCTCCAGTACTGCAGGTAGTCAGGGGAGAAGTTGTAAATCTCAGGAAAATAGAAGGGCTGGTTTATTTGTTTGTTTTTTTAGTTCTGATGGCCAAAGAATAATTACTGTTTGGTTTCATTTTGACCATAGCACAGGAAAGGGAAGTGCCTGGTTTCTAGCCATTCTGAAAGATATCCTGGTTGACACAGGATAACAGGAAATAAGTTGCTGTGACCCCAAAGTGATGTGAGTTCTGTAACAAGAACAGGGGTACAAGAAAAACAAACTATGTATAACATCAGTTCCTAGCCTTTGTACAAGTAGTCAGGAAATAGAAAGCCATCTTTTTGTGAAAAAGTATTCCCCACTGATTGTTTAATGAATTGCTCACAGAAATGGCCCCAGTTTTCATTTTAATCGACCTGACTGAATTAGGAGCACAATTGCTTTTCACAATGACACACTGCATATTGGATGACTTCATTTATGAAACAAACGGCTGAATGTTGGTGTTACTTGTTTGCTCACAAAGTTCTACCAACATTGGCGGGGGTGGGGGGCAAAGATATGCACAGTTCATAAGATATGAAAGAGGACAAATACTTTTTCAAACTACGGCAGTTGCCACCATTTGCAGGCAACCAACACCGTGTGCCCACTTCTCTGCCAGAAAAAAATATGACAGGAATCCAAGCAAATTCACTGCCTTTCGCATTCAAGATGATCTTAACCTCTCTGTGAGACCAGATGATTTCCCCACTGCGTAGGGGAGCCTATGTAGGCTTTGCAATTGGCCTAAGGACTGAGAAAGCTGCAAAGTGGGCAGTCCCGATGAAAGCCAACACAGATTTGGACAACTGCACACATTTTGTGGCATACCTGAAAGTTACTTTCCAGGATTCTATGAACTAAGTGACCTCCAGCCATGAACACTGCCTACAACAAAATAAGTATCAGAGCTATCTAGCCTCTCTTTTACCTTTCTTTAGTAACCCTGTAGTTAACTAACTACAGATTCACAATCCACTGATTCACTGGGACCATGTGAACTTCATTTTTGCAAGATTCACATCCTGCAGTATCTCAAATCCATACCACTCACATCTTTGCCTTTCAAATATCTGGACTATGCAGGTGGGCTTGGAAAGGGAGAAACACAGATCCTACCCTCGCTTGCTAGCAGTCCTGTGATTACATAAGCAATCTTATTCTTGGGGCCCAGATTCCTGTGAAGCAGCATCAAATATAGAACTGGCTGCAGCTCTTCCCCCTGTCTCCCAGGGTCATTCCCACATACCATTACACTATCCCACAGAAGTTAGAACAGACATAGAATATCTCCAGATTTCTCACATGTTTAACCAACACCAGGTCAGGCAGCCATAATTTTTTTTTTCTCATGTCACTGTTGGAATCTTTTACATTCCAAACATCTCAAACAAGCAGGCTGATGCTTTATCATATAAACCAGAATATTTCTTACCTGATGACTCTCGCTTAGTCTCCCTGCCGCATCAGAAAGTCTGACCATATTCAGTAGAAAGGGAGTCCACCACCACTTTTCTAGATAATTGGTTCCACTGTATAATTCCTCTTATTGTTAGGACATATCGGCTGGAATCTACTTTCCTATGATGTAAATCCAACATTTTGTGTCCTGCCTCCTGAGGTGCCATCCTGTCTGATATCCTTTCAAGTACATCTCCCCCTCAAGTCTCTGCTTCTCAAGGCTGAATATTTCCAGATACTTCCACCTATCCTCATAGGATTTCATTTCTATTCTACTGATCATTCTTATTATATTTTTCTGAATCTATTCCAGTCTGACTGAATCTTGAAGATAATTGCCAGATAGAGTCTGGTCAATGCAGAATAAACTAAAACAATGACTTCCCATGATTTGGAAATTACAAACTTCTGTAGATGTAGCCTAACATTGCATTTGCCTTTTTGCAGCCACATCACCCAGCTGATTCAAACTGAGTTTCTAGTGAACTACCATTCCAAACTGTTTTTCAAAAATACTGGTATCCTGTATTCTACACCATTTACATTTTATTCAATTATTTTCAGCCCATTTCCCTGGACTGTCAAGATTGTTTGGAATTTTGTTTCTTTTTCCAGGTTATGAGCTACACCCTCCGATTTTGTGCCATCTGCAGGTGTGATAAGAATTTCCTCTATCTTCTCATCCAAGCCGTTACCAAACACATTCCAAGACTGAAATTTCTAACATCCTACTCAATACTTCACTACAGTTTTATGAAAACCATTGATAAGTACCTTTTGAATGCAATTTTTGAGCAAACAGTGCACCCACTTAATTGTCATGACATCCAGCCCACACCTAACTCACTTGAATATCATAATGTTACTTCATCAAATAACATTATATTTTATCTGTAGTATTCCTACAATCTACTAAGTTGTCTCAGAAAATGAGTTAAGGGTAATCTGAACACTTTTGTTCTTGAGAAGTCCATAATGATTTCTGGTCATCACTACATTTTTTTTCAAGGTGCCTACAGATTATTGCTTTATTATATTTCTAGAATATTTCCAGATATTATTGTCAGATTGTCTATAGCATCCTATAGCTTTCTCCCCCCTCCTTTTTTTTTTTAAGATAGGAGTGTTCTTTGCCTCTTCTAGTTGTCTGGCATTTCACCCACTCTCAGTATTTCTCAAAAATAATACATAAAGGCTTGTTGCCTTTTGGCCGTAAATAAATTTGATTGAATAAAGGCTTGTTCAGACTGTCAGTAGGTTCCTTCGTTATCCTAGGATTCAGTTTATCAGGTCTTGGGGATTTAAACCCATTCAAATAGCTATATTTCTGTCAGTCTCAAGGCCTTAGTCCTATCTGGTCACCCTGCTCTTCACAATTGTCTGGGGGACTACATAAAATCTTGTTGAAGAAGACTGAAGACTGACTGAGGGGTTGAATGGTTTCATTTTTTCTTCATTAATTCTCCTTTGTTCCCTGTTGGGTATGAATGGGCAAGTCATTTTGCCAATATAATCACTCATAGTCACTCTGACTTAGCCTCCATGTGGGCAAATCAGGAAGAGGTGACCGGGGCAATGACCTGTGAGTCAGATGGGACTGGTTTCAGCTTGGGCATTCTGAGCAAGTGTACAGGGTTCCCTGAAATCTGTGGGCTGGATCTATGCCCTACCACAGCTCCTTTGGAGGACTGGTGTGTTGTTGGATTTGAGAGGCAATAAATGCTTCTCTAAAGAAAGGGACTGTAGTAGTTGTTCTGAAGGAGGCAAAGGCACATCTCCTCCTGAAGAATAGCTCTTAATCCAAACATTTTGAACAACTTTCACCCAGTCTTTAGTCTCCCTTATTTGGGAAAAATTCTAGAAAAGGTTGTTGTTTGTCAGTTATTGAAATCCTAGATGAAGCAAATTGCCTTCCAGCTGGATTTCAGACCTAGCCATGCACTTGGAGATGATCCATGCTGGAACCTGGAAGGAAGGAATGTGGCCCTCTTGATTCTATTCTATGGTTTAATTTTTAACTGGTTTTATTCTCAGTTTTAATTGTTTTGTTAACTCTGTTTTGGATTTTAACTATGGTTATAATTTGGAGGTTTGGGTTTTATTGCAAGTTGTCTGGGATCTATTAAATCTGCTGGGATTTAAGTGATGCAATAAAATAAAATACCTTTTAGCATTTTGCCATATTCACAAAGCTGTTTAATCTTCTTTTATTTTGGGGTTGTTTTTTTTTGACAGCAATGTACCATCAAATATACTAATTTATATTCCAGCAACTAGCATAAACAACCAGGGGTTCAGTTGTTGTATTGCCAAGAGATGAGCTTTTCTGTTTTCAACTTTTCTCTCCAAATTACTTATGTCTGCTTCTACATCTCTGCTGAGAAATCTAGACCTTTTATTTTCAGAAGAGTAATATCTTTCCTCAAACACCTGATCACCATCAGCGGTGAAAGCTTCCTTACGATTTTTGGGAGGCTTGTTGTGCTGCATAACACTTCGAGCTTTATAATTATTTTTAATCAGCAGGATGGTTTCTGTGTTCCTCGTGTCAATTAAACAATTGGCTACTACTGCATTGTCAAAGCCTAATGCTGCCAAAACTGTTGGGAAGTCAGGATGAAAAACAGCCCTTGACTTTACATCATAAACATTGTCCTGAAAACGAGTAATAATAATTGGAGGTTGAAAACCAGCTTGACAGTATTTGGACATCAAGGCCTGTAATACTCTTTCATCTTTATGATTGTCACAGCAAAATGCAAGAACCAGGTTTTTTAAACATGCCTCAACAGCCAGTGAAAGTTCAGGATCTTTCAGATGAATAAAAGCACCTAGTGGTCCTATTGCAGTGTTGTCCAAACTTGGCCACTTTAAGATGAGTGGACTTCAACTCCCAGAATTCCCCAGCC